GTATAATAATCGGTCGGCCCCTAGCATGGAGAAAATGATTTTTAAATGAAAATGATAGGTAGGACCATGGGCAGGACTCCGCAGACAGCTAGCCTAGGCCTGCAACAAAAGTATTTTTGTTATTTAAAATTAATAAAAACAAAAGAATACGTGGGCAAAGTAAAAAAGTGAACAGTGTTTTTTAAATTTTTTCGTTTTTAAGGGCCCAACTTGACAATCGTAAGTGAAGTGAAGACCTGGACGTAAACTACAAATGAGACTAAGCATAGTCGTAGGCTTACACATGAGCGCGCTACAGAGGCCGAACGAACAGATTTGGGGCCACATTATGATCTTAATATCTCAACCGGACATGACCGGACACGGTTCATTCGTGTACCGAATGAAAGATACAGCTTTCTACTTTCGTCTAAACTAAATTTTATTAACCTGCGACAACCGGGACCCTTTACAAACATTATTTATTGACATCACTTTCGTTCTTACAATAAAAATAAGCCAATACTTACAACTGATAAAAGAAACAGTTATTTTAAGCCGATTTTGACGTTTACAGTATGTATGTTCTCGCCGAAAAAAAACTCTATCTAAATACACCAAACGCGCACACAAACAAACCGTGGATAATGAACTGTGCATGTGTGTTTTAATTCTAATGTTTAAATGTTTGTGTATTAAGTACTCCACTAACGCCAGAGCGTCTATAGGGGTTTACACTTAAGCGGCGAGGAGCTCTGTGTATAAAGAGATAGTGCTGTGATAAGCTCCGCGGGCGGCCGTAGTGCAATTTAATAGGCGCTGGCTGACTGTTTAATTGGATTAAAGATAAGCGATAAAGTCGATGTTACTCCTTCTGTTCTATTTTCTCTATGGTTAAACAGTCAAAACAAATGCACCAAAAGCTATAAGTAGTAATGATCAATTTCAACAAAGTAACTGTAGATTTTATTATTGACATTATCAAATCTTAAAAGGACTGGGTTGTTAGTTATTGTGGGTTTTTGTAATAGGTTTGGAATTCTGCGGACATCTGGTAAGATGTAACTGTTTGAGACCAGTATTGTGGTCTTGTGTAGATAAATGACTGTTTATAGGGTGCTGTCTCATAGAAGTGTATTAATCCTACCTACACAAGTCCTGCTGAGCCCATATCAATTGACTTCTGATGTAAATATGTGGTTGTACATTAAACGAATCTAACTGTTGGTCTAAACTTGGGGTAGGGAGCCCAATATAATTTGATTTGTAATTTTAGGCCTGTTTACACTATAACTATAATCAATGACAAAAAGCTAAAAAGCAATTGTTCATATAGAAAATAAAGAAATAAGAAAAGTTTCCACACAACAATAATTTGATAATCATTTATTTATCATGTATACGATAAACAAATAATTTTACAAATCAAATGACGTCATAATCATGGGAAAATGATAAAATCGTTTTTACTACAACAATTTTATCAATTGATTATGATGGCATTTGATTTGTAAAAATATTTTTTTATCGTATACACGATAAATCATTATAGAATCGTGCTAGTGTGAAAACTTCTTTTATTTCTTATTATTTTCTATATGAACCTTTGTTTTTAGCTTTTTATAGTTGATTGTTAGCGTCAGTGTACATAGGCCTTTAGACAGTGTCATACAATAAGCTTATAAAAGTTTGTTATCTGTGATGTGTTTCTTTCAAAAAGGATGTGCAGAGGGTGCTAATTGAAATATGTTATGGTCTCTTTTTAAAGATGTTCGCATACTAATTAGTTATTGGGGGAGGTGGTTGTTTCAAAGTTAATAATAAACATAAACAATATTTATTTTATGTATCAGAATGTTTTATTTGTAATTAATAGGTTTTAAGGAATTGCCTCTTGGCTTTGACTATTTTATACGATTGTTTGTAGGACAAATTGAATAATAATAAATGTGGTATATAAATCTAAATTATATTTCACTTGGATTGAAGACATAAGTATTTAGTGGGGTCTTATATTGTTAAGAGTATAATACATACTCCAAGTATCGAAATGCACAGGATTCAATATTTCGACATTAATTATGTCATAATCAAGAAAAAAGCATTCTGATAAAATGAATATTGTTTATGTTTCCTGATTATGACATAATTAATGTTGAAATATTGAATCCCGACACGATGGCATGCATTTCAATACCGTATACAGTATGTATTATACTATCTTATCTGAGATTAATCAGTGGACCTTTCGGTTTTTATATTATTGAATTGTCAAGATACTGGGAGACATTACACTATTGATGAGGTTATTATCAACCCTGCGTTTTCCATTTGAAGTTTAGGTATTATTCTTGAACAATCTCCCACATTTGTTCCTCTGTTTGTAAATCCTTATTTTTATTTATTTTAAACATCTGGAGAATTCCGAAGTATCTTAGTTCAAGTCCACTGAAACTTTAGTTCATGCTTTTATTTCCACTAAATTAGATTATTGTAATTCATTGCTTGTCGGTTTGAGTGATTTTGTTACTCATCGTTTACAGAAAGTACAAAATTCAGCTGCCAGGATATGTAGGCTTACTTCACGTAAACAACACATTACTCCCATTCTTAAAGACCTCCATTGGCTTCCCATTAAACAACGGATAATATTCATGATTCTTTTGCTTGTTTTTAAGTCACTTCTTTTTAAACAACCATCATATTTGCTACATTTGCTTACACCATATTCTCCAACTCATACACTTCGTTCTTCCAATAAATTTCTTCTTCAAGCCCCTACAAAAAGGAAGAAGCTAAGAACATAGAGTCAACATTATTTTTATGTTCAGGCACCTTATCTTTTACCTCTTTCTGTTCGACAATCTTCAAATTTAAACTCATTTAAAACTAATTTGAAAACATTTTTGTTTACAAAATCGCTTTAATTGGGTTAATTGTTCACTGCGCCTTTGATAATGTTTTTTGAATTGGCGTGTTATAAATTTCTGGACCAAGGGCAGCAGATGGAATTATACTGGGGATGAGGTTTATGTGAAGATCTCCACAATACAGTGCACAATACAGTGGGTACATTCCGTTTAGCCAACTCAACTACGCTGTTCTCTTTTTAACAGAATTTTTATTTTTATTTTATAGAAACAATCTCACAAATGACGCGGGTTTCAACAGTAGCAGTTGCCACACCAACGAGAGAGAGGAAGCCAAGGTTCTACCATCCAAAAGGGGCTCCTGACTCAGACCAAATATTCAACTCAACTGGCAACAGGTAGGTTGTGGGGTACATCTCAAAGTGTAGATAGACAGGTAACATGTGGGTTGTGCTGGGGTACAACTCAGAAGAGTAGATAGACTGGGGTGTGCCGTACATCTCAAAAGATATTAGAGACTGGTAAGATGTATGTTTGGGTGTATCTCAAACAGTAGATGACTGGTAACAAGTAGGTTGTGGGGCAAGTCTCAAAGAGTAGGTAGACGGGCAATGTCAGGTTGGTTCAGTTGTACAACGATAGAGCTTGGGGCCCTGTCTAGGATCCTATTGATGGTTCAGCATATAAATATGGTTCAGTACAGTATATAAAAATGGTAGAAATATTCTAAAAATATTCTGGATTTTAGAGGTGAGTAGAATAAGGACAGTTATCAAAGATTCTATGATATGAATATACAGAGGATATTGAACTTGTAGTATAACACCTAGACACCTATTATATTGCCACCTAGCTAAGGTAAATAAATCAGGAAAGCACTATCTTCATGCCATCTAGCCAAGGTAAATACATAAGGAAAACACTGAGAAATCCTGTATCCGGTTCATTGTATCCTAGTAGTAGATGAACTTTCCTGAAATGGGTGCAGCATGTGAAATTATTGACAGGAAGTTGTCCAATACACTATGGAGACAGGAGGGGTATACCTAGATTCTACTATACAAGATATATTTTTCTGCCAATCATATTGCAGTGGTGTAATGCATGATAATTAAAGGTGAGCCCAACTTCATTATGCCATTGTAGGCTCCCAAGCTGATGGGATATTCCACAACAAGCATATCTAGGTTTGCATATTTAACAACTCAATATATTGTACGCTATTTGTTTCGTACAAACATTTAATAGGCTAGCCTTTTTTATACCTTTGTTTTTTTTGCAAACTTTTTCTACTCAAATCTTGATTTTCAATCATCCTCCTTTATAGTAGTGTCATTTATATGCGTAATGAAATTGTTTATATATATAAACAAAATTGATTATAATATATTTTCTGTGTACATTATGTAGATTACCACCACCATTATCATTCTTTGTTTATTTGGTACACTGACCTGTTATAAGAATGATTTATTGAATTTGCTATTAGTATCATAACCCTATCCCTCTCCATCAAATAATGTATTGTATTATTAGTACTATCTGTCGCCATCTACCACTAACAGTAACACATTCTTTGTAAGTGGTCCTTATGTCAAGAGGGATTTTGAATATTTATTACCTAGTAGATTATGTTGTTTTAACGTACCGTTCATAGTGTAATATGTCACAGAGATCAAGAAAGCCATTGAGAACCTAACTGAAATGGATTCTTCAAGAATGAATCTTTGTCTTTGAGTTTATTAGTATTTATTTTTGTTAAGAACCTTGCATTGTATTTCAGGGGGCATGCGCTGTCTCATAGAAAAAGTGTGCTCTTCTCTAGGTTCCTCCTTCTCTTCCAGGTTTTTCCTAAACCAGTCTTACTTATATAGAAGAAGTACACCACGATTCAAATAGGGTTGCTCATAGCACCATTCAGAAAAGGTTATACAAGGTGCATCCTTCACCTTTTAGATATCCCTTCCCCCACTGAAAATTTGCTCAAGGTGTCACCATCCTCTCATTCCCCTCACTTTCAACCCACATATCACACCTAGATATAACTGCCAAACTTTATTGTCTCATAATAAAAAGTTAAAATTTGTGAGAGAAATGTTAAAAATCACCTCACTGAACATCACCTTAAAACATTGATCTTGAAGAAGTACAACTTAAAAATTGGACATATGTACAGTAATTTCAACTTTTAAAACCCCAAAAGAACTGGTGATACATTTGATTTAATATCGGAGGTGACTCATGTAACCAAACTTAATCATCTATTTGTCAAATATTTTCATTTCTTGGATGTCTAATTTTCTTCCTGTCTTTTTAATCACACAGATTTAGAAATTATTTTAAAAAGCTTCATTTTCTTGATATAATCAGTTATGGTTAAAGTTCCCCGTTGTTGTTTTGCTCTGCCTTTCCTCAGGAGGTCTTCTTATGTGGGTTCATGTATTAATTTCTTCTCAGCTTGTCTCCATAAAGTATCATTTATCTGTCGTAGGTCTGTATTCCAAAGATGGTAATGTCACCTATTCAAAGTCATGTATCTTACACAAAGAACATACATACTTATTTCTAGTGTCAAAGTTATTTTATGTATCTTTATATTTTATTGTTAACATATTGTAGATAAATAAAATTAAATATACAAATATAAACAGAATGAGAATAATAAAAATGAAGAGAAAAAATAAAATTACAATAATATATATAGTAAATATTGTAAATGTATATTAATAATGTAAAACAGTCACTGATTAATAATGTTAATTTACTAATAGTAAAGGTAGGCCTAATAGTAATGATAATATTATATACTATTACATTAATATTTATGTTTATGCTTTTTCGATAAATATCTCAATGAGTACAATAATACTCTGTACAAACTACTATGAATTTATGTTCTGTAGTTTGTGTTTTTCTTGTCTTTTACCATAATTCTTTTGAGTATCTAATGCCTTTCATACACAGACTTCAATATGAACAACTTTTTTTCTAGTTGAAACAAGCTTGTGAAGTTATGAAACTCTACATTATAATTATAGTATTAGTTTAAACATTATAGTATAAATTTTTATAACATAATTTATAGAACATTGTCTTTCTTATGGACATAAGATTCAATATCAATAATTTTATTTTGAAATATTTCTATGAAGTTTTTGTTTATACTTTTGTTGTTTGATTTCTATGATTTGAAAAGCCTTGAAAGTAATTAAGTCATATTAGAATAAACTCACCACATCCCCAATCATGCATCACCACATGCAAACCAGAAATTATTAAATCACTTATCATTAGGACTTATCTGCAATAGAAAAAGTACTGTATAGAAAGAAAAAAACATTTTTTTTTGTTTTTTTTCTCTTGCAATGATCAGGCTACAAAGGATTAAGAAGAAATACATAAAATGAATGTATGCCCTATACCTCCTTGGTCACCCATGTATTTAGTAACAGTAACTTGTATAATTATTAATTGGTATTATTGACTTAGGTCTCTGTTTTGAATGCCAATGATTTTTCAGTACTGCTATTAAACTAAAACAAAAGTTTGCTTCTTCATTTCAAGTAAAGTTCTAATAATTTTTATGATTTTACTGAGTTTATATTTTTTATAATGTTTGGTATTTATAGTATATTGATACAAATGATTTTAACTTTATTTTCTTTTTATCATGTTAGGGCCCCTTTTAAGTTGCATTTGTTTGTTTGTTTGTTTTTTTATGATAACACGGTAAATATTAAAATATTTACCGTGTATCATATATATTGATAGGCTCCGAAGGACAACAGCGTTATTACTTTTACTGTATTAGGGTACTTAGGGTAAAAAAAAAACATAAATGAGTTGGTTCTGTCTTTCTTTTGACTGACTCAATGTTAACATCAAATTTTAGTGACATTCCTAAATGTCATATTTTAAAATTAAAGAGGATATACCATACCATTAATTTGATCAATTGGAACACCTCAATTAAACAAACATTAAATGTCAGTTTTTTTTTTTACTTATCTGTTACATTATTTACCATAATATGGTGTTGTATAGCTAATATATGTTTGACATGCCTATGATGGGGTTGTGTGGCGCCAATGGGAGTTAAACTTCTGTTAATAATGTCACTTCTCATATAAAGAATTTCACCTCTTGATATACAACTTACAAAAATTTTCGCCACAGAAGTAACCCATCACCTCACCTCAATTACATACAGCTCAAGTTGTCAAAAGCGGCTCCATCTTTTACACTCATCTTTATCATTGATAGATAGTTTCAATATGCTACGGATAATCTGTTGGTCTCTGTTTGACAATTGTCTTTTAAAATGTAGTTTTTGTGTGCACTTATACTATGTTTTTTAAATGTTGTATTGTTTTGTTTACATAAATGTGTGAGTACATTTCTAACTATAAATAAAGATTGCCAATATATTTATTATGAATTTAGATGAAATTATTATAAATAGAAATAATTATAAATAGAAAATACAGAAGCATAAAATAAATCAAACTTTAAAATGGTGTGTTTTGATTTCCCCCAGGAAATGGTAGTAAAGCAGCTATTGTGGAAAAACTGTAAATGCTAGATATGGTTGAATATTGGTTACTGTAGATACACGCTAAACCAAGATGATGGCAGATCTTCTTTGTGGTTGGTGTCTACCTGAGAATCTACAGGATCTGTACAAGTAGATGAAGTGGTGGTACCACAGAAGAACTCCAGAGGGCACTTCTCAAGTATAGGTGGATGAGGCATGGTGCCAGAGGGGAAAGCCTTGGGCATTAGATAAACAACCATAAGACTTGATATAAACATTAAATGTGATGTTGAGACACACATTGTTAAAGTTTAGTAGACAGAATGAATGTAAGCAATACACAGATGTTTTGGAACAAAAGATGAAGTGCTAACCAACTTCAGCCAGTCAATGAAGTCCTTTATATCCACATGACAACCGTAAACCCAAATAAATGTTTTGATGCGTCTTGATCAATCTAGGCCAAGTTTTAATGTCGTCAAGTTTTCACATTTTAACATTTAATGTATTGATGATACTGTAATCTATCAAGACTCATTGAATAGGTGATGGTTAATCTGAACTGAGCAGCTATGGGACAGTGACTTGAAAGAGATTGGTGTTAATTAAAAGAACTGAATGTAAGGGTCAACATTCTTCAACGTGACATACATATCACTGATGAAGGTGTTTTTAAAATAAATTACTCTGTCATTGTTATTTTCAATTTAATTTAAATAAAAACTATTGAAAATACATAATTTGTAGGAGATGCATGCATGAAGATGACTATAATAATCTGCAATAATTGCAGAGGTGAAGATTTATAAAGCATTCTTGATTTAACTGATACTGTACTTTCATTGCTCAATAAATCTGCAATAGGATGGAGTTTATATACCACATCTTCCTTATCCCCTTTTGCACAAGCCAACTGACCATTTCTGATACTTTATATTGTTTTAATGGAATTTTAAATGTTGTAAGGAGAATGTTTTATTCAATTTTATTCATTTTAGAAATACTGGTACTAGATTTCAAGGTAATAAAAGAGGAAGATTATTACTATGCTTGAAAAAGATAATATCTTACTTCCCAAAGAATGTTGCAATACAGATGCAGTGAGGTAAGCAGGAGGAAATTGTGCACATCTAAGGCGAGACTTCTTATACCTTGTTTAGCGAACCCTCTGACTGCAAATAAAAATAATTATTTTATTTTTTAAACACTTAGCGCACCCTCCGCTATGAAAAATGGAAATTTCAGAAACAATTTTTTTTTTAATTTATTTTTATTGTGCCCCCTGCTCCTCTGAAATCTCCAAATATAAGATAAATACAGTATATTTCTTCCTTAATTATATAAATTTAAAGCAATCTCATTACTATACTGTTTACATTCATCAATACAATTTTATTTTTATTTTCTCCTCCACCTAGATGCTTTTAGTGAAATTATTCTGCTAAATAAGAAAATGCATTTTTTTTCTGCCCTCATCTGATGATCTTTAAAAAAATAAGTTCGCTAAACAAGATATTAAAATGTCTTGCCTAAGCAGCATTACACATTTAGAATGAAGTTGGTGAAACACATAATCCCAGCATGTTTAATGACAGGAAGGTCATGAATTAATTAAACATATCCAACTGATGTTAAGATGTCACAAATTTTATCAGCATTTTTGTTAGCATTAAATATTTCTTTCAAGTCTTTTACGAAATAGAATTGTCTTTGTTCTTTTATTGTTTTACTTTTTTCCCTATAGCTGCCTCCCCCCCCCCTCACCCCTTGTCTATATAGTCAGTGTTTAGATAATACATAATGTACATTATTGTTTATATATCAGAACAGAAGAAACAGGGGAACCAGCGAGCAAAATAAGTAAGCTTTGTTTCAAAGTAAGCCCTATTTTTTTTCTTTCAATTGCTCATTTCGGTTGTGGCACAGGCTAAGCTACCCTGCATTGCTCTATGATGATATGTTATAGCTGCTGAGAGCAATTTAACTGTGCACAGAACCATGGAGATCCACTGTTTTCAGATGAAAAGTTTGCTCACTGTGAAATATAATATGGCTCATGTACATGTTAAAAAATGCAATACACTCTTCAGGAAAGAGTAGGGGATTGACTCCAAGTGTAGACCTACTCCCCAATCGCCACTAAAAAGACCCTGAAGGTAAAGTTGGTGGGGGGGGGGGGCTCTATGATTAAGTTAGGAGTGATGTCAAACTAATGATTACAGTACAAACTATAATGTTCATTTCAGCAATTTGCATATAAAAAAAAACAATACCGTATTATTTGAATTAACATCCTGGGGACCTTTATTGTTGAAAAGGATTAAGTGGTGTTTCAAGCAGTGGCGTAACGCCTATGTGCCCTTGTGGGGCGGTCCGCAGGGCCCCGACCCATAGGGGAACCGAAGGGGCTTACCCATTTTCAGTGGCGTATCTAGAAGTCTTGAATTGGGGTGGGG